GTGACAGTTGTGGTCAACTCTTCACTTTGGAAGCGATATTAAGAGATATGTTTGAGTGAGATATGAGTCAAGCAATGGGTCTCTCCATAGAAAACGTGGCATTCATTGAATGGATGACACATTGAATGAAAGGAATTTTGAAGGCATCTCCTCATGGAGTGAGTGGTCAATGGGTTGACCCACTCATCACTCGCTATTTGATCCACTGATCACTCATTTGTTTTATGTTTTCAGGTAATGCCTCACAAATGCACTAATCGTTAGCCAAGTTTGCCATTAGTTTCATACAAATGTATGCTTTTTTCATTTGGTTCACCTTTTCTTTTCTCAATGCGTTTACCTAATGTTTCACTGTATATGCGGTCATTAATAGTATTGACTACCTGTTGACCACAACTACTGCACTGTATGTCCACAATAGCCCTCACAATACACACTATTGTGAGCCCTCAGGCATTATAGCACACAATAAGACAAACCCATAGTTTAGTGATTTCTCTGCAAAGATATGGTTTGACAGATAAACACCTTTTCCAACGGTTACCTTTACCGTACCGTATAAGACAGATTAGCTGACCCTGGTTAGGTTAGGTTAGGTTACACATCAAATCTAACCCGTACATGATTAAATAATTGCTGATAAGTTTATGCAGCATATTAGACTGATTCACTTTACAGATTACAGAAAGTATTTATTAAATTGGTAATTGTTTTTAGTTTAATACTGTATCTATATTAATGACAATAAAATTACTGTAATTTAAGCTCATATTTTATTTGATATTCCATTAAAAAGTTTTGCTAGGTGCTAAAGTTTTAATATACTATATCATAATCGTACGATTCTTACACATGAAAAATTAATAAATTATAGAGGTATATGATACAAAAACTTTCATAAATAAGAATTAAAACTCGTATAAACAAAAATATATTTAATTTTATTTGGATTATAAATAGATTTATCAATGTACAATGCTTAAATACTATAGTACCGGAACGAATAGTAAAGATTAAGTGATCTTGGTATAAAAGATTATTGCTTTGAATGAAGTTTCATGAATAGTGTTGAAGTTTTAGCGGCAATCATAGGCTTACTGTAATGTAATGAACAGTTTGGCGCTATTGAAGTTATATATGAGTTGCCATGAGTTCACCACCAGATGCCACTCAATGCACACAATATTGTGCCAAACATTGCATTCATTGACTTTTGTGTTGTCTTTTAACTCTCGTATCGATCGTTGAATTGGTTTCGCATTTCATTTAATGACTAATCAAATGAACACATATTAACACAGAAAGCAATTCATGCGTTCATTTCACTCATATTTAACACACAATTGACACCAAAATATATTTTCATTGAAATGTGAGTTAAAGTCAATTCAGCGTTAAGTCTCTTATGCGACAAATCGTTGAGAAAATGTCATTTTAATTGTCAATTGATTTCAACACTCATTGATTGCTTGATTTAACGATAGTTTGAATGAATACTTATCGCAGATATTAAGCGGACATGTCTTCGAAAAGATCTTCGTCGACGGACTCGAGTAACTCGAGTTCAAGCAATGCCTGCACTCATGGCTCGAGTGCACCGCCGAAGAAGAGGCAGAGAGTGGTCGCCGAACAGCCGAGACTTGTGGTCACCTCTTATGAGG